AGATTTGGGCGTTCTTTTTATGCACGCTCTCGGTTTAACGAAATCTACGACTTTCGATTAGACCGCTAAGGCTAAATATCGATCTAAATTAAATTCATATTTTACGTCACTCGGCGTCGTGCTGGTTCCGTCTCGAAACTTCGACAGGTCATAACTTCTTCGTTATAACTCGGATTTTGGCATTCCTTATATCTCCGGAATCCTTGTTTCGACCACTACAACTTTATGCAAAGATATCGGGCTTATCTCACACTTTAATTTTGACGCTTATTTTATTCTTAATTCATTAAATTATAAAAATCAAGAAAATAAACACATAATTCACATAATTCACAAATAATACATTCTTATTATTTCAAGTTGAGTTACAAGGTTAACCTAAACTATTACATTGCTAAAAATGGCGAGCCTAAAAACACGGGCGTTACAATCTAGTAAGTGTTTATAGCCCTTTGAAGTTAGTATATCACCTAATCTTGTGTTTTAACACACATCCATCCGTGAAAATGTTCCAAAAGGTTGATTCTTCAAGTTTCACCAAGAACACACACTAGCGTTCTTGGACTTTTGGCTCATTTCAAGCTTCTATATTGTAAGTGCCTCTATCCTATAGTATCATAGAGCTTATTATACGTCCATACATCAAGAAAACACAAAGAAACACCAAGATCAAAGGTGTTTACGGTCCAAGAACTCCTTAAAACGTAAACCCTTCTTAAAGGGGCCAAAGTGACCCTAGTCCGTTCACAAGCTTGGGAAACTAGTCTAGACTCATTCCATTATATGATTAGGACTTGAAAACATCAAAATACCATAATCCATATGGTTTTACGGTAGTAAACCCAAAAGGAAATGGTCTTAGGGTCGTAAACTCCTCAAAGGAGGGAAATGGTGCCCTAACTTCTTCCTTAGACTTATACATCAAGTACAAAATGCTTCTAGGGACTTATAAACCTTCAAATCAACAAATGGTCAAAGGAGTATGAGATTACGGCCGTAAACTCATGGGTTTATGACCGTAAACTCAATGAGTTGAGGTTACAAAACCGTAAACTCAAGAAAGGGGTTCTTTTGAACCCTAAACCCAATAGCTTTGTCCTACAACACTTAGATGCAATCCTTGGGACTTATAACACTTATATAAAGTGTTTAACTTGTCTTAGGATGTTTTAGCTTTGTAAATTAGTTGTTTAAAGACTAATTGGTTACATATATGTGAATTTATATGTTAACTAGGATCATTGTGCGTGTACAAGTCTTCACTTGACACCTAGCAATCCTATATCTTCACTTCATCCAAATCACTCACTACAAGTGAGTTCATACCCCTTAATTAACCTTTTAAATGTTTTTAAATGCTTTTAGGGGGGGGGGGGGTACAAGTAAAGCTACTATAGTTATTATATCAATCACATGTGATTAATAACTATCAACAAGTGAATCTCTTACTTTCAAACTGTGTTACCAAACTGTTTTACTTCAAACTGTCTTACAAACTCTTTTACATACCAAATGCTTTTAACAAAACTTCTTTTATAATTTAATATTCTCAAATGCATGCCTATGTATGTATAGTTATATAAGAAATGTTTAAAGGACTTAGGAATGCTAGCTCGCTTTATCTCCTTTTCCTTGTTGGGATGTAGCTTTAGGGCATCGGTTATCCGTCTGAAGGTCATCTAAATATTAGTTATATATTATGTATACATATAGAGACATAAGGGTTCTATCAGTCAATTCAATACCCTTGGGTAGCAAGGGTATACGTTCATGTTCATAAGTACAAGTCATATCACTAGTAAACTACAATAGGCGTAGTTTAGGAAGTTACTAATACTATTACTAGAACAATAAATCATACAATGAGTCAGTTCATACATGAGTCACTACTTGCTAGATAGAGATAGAACACACAATACAGCTAGTACACACAGTACATTACTATACAAGCTAGATAGAGAGAGAACACACAAAACAGCTAGCACATACATTACATATACATTCATGCAGTTTTGTGAGCCACTAAACGGGGCATGGCACTACCCGCTATGACCGTTTTTGTATCCTGAATCTCCTTAATTGGGGAGTGTATGAGTTTGCGTATAGATCTATACTGGATTGACTATCCTACACCTTGTTGCTCGCTACAATGGGGCTTGCAAGTCTACGGGTGCCAAATGTCATTTCTTACGGCGTCTTACATCATCGTTTTACTATTGATTCGGTAGCAGGGTACAGGCCGATCACATGGTACTTTAAATAACAATTGGTTTAAGGTAATTAGTACAACAGTAGTTACTTAATTCAATACTACCGTACTATAATTTTCCCATTACATTCACTTCGTGAACATTCACACGATGCACGGTAATGTAAAAACTATATTTTTGGTTAATGATAGTCGGATTTGGGAAAATACACACTCTTACAAGAGACACACACAGTTACTAGATGCCTTGGTAGAAGGCTACTTTTAGTAGGAAACATAGGGTTTTCTAGGAGAATTCAAACAAATACAAACTTTACAAAACTTTTACATTACATCTTACAAATGCTTTCATACAAACTCAGACACTAATATACTTATGATCTCACCAGCTTTAAAGCTGATACTCACTTTCAAAATAACTTGTATTCTTAGGTCACCAGTAGACAGGTACCGGTGCCAGGTTTTTGAGAAGATGGAGCTTGTTCAAGACTCCTCTTTTATTTTGATGTACTATTTGGTGTCTATATAACTTGACAGAATACACTTGTATGAATTTATATTATTAATGCAATGGATGATATTGTTACTTGTTTACTACTTTGCATTGTTGTGATACTATACATGATGTCCTCCACCCTCGAACGATTCCGCCGTTCAGGTTTTGGGGTGTGACAGAACATTTCTAGAATCATCTTCTTCGACAGTTTGAAGATCTGGGTTTTCAAAATTTTCTCCATTGTTGTGATTTTATTTAGTCTAGAGCATGGTCATTTTGGGGGTTCTATAAATTCACTGTAATAAGAAGGTTTGCATAGCAATTTAGGTATGGATTGACTCAAGTTAATCAGGATACATCATTGAAAGTAGGGTTTAGTGGTGATTCCATCTGAGATAAACAAAAAAATATGAGATGAAAATATGGCTTCATTTTTTGTAGATGAGAGAGAGAGAGAGAAGGGGAGGGGCATTTGTATGCATAGAACAAAGGGTATTATTGTCATTTAATAGAACTTAACAAAAAAATTTAATAATGTTTGTCACATGGGCCTTTTATATGCTAGATTTTCTTCTTAGGACCATCTCACAGAAAAAAGTTTCATAAAAAGCATTTCATGGAAAATCAAGAAACCTAAAGGACCGTTCGTGTAATTTACTCTCTCTCTCTCTCTCTCTCTCTCTATATATATATATATATATATATATATATATATATATATATATATATATATATATATATATATATATATATATCAACCGAACATGTAAAGAGTAGTACATATAGTGTTTAGGAAAGATGCAAAAGATCATATGATGTCAAGTTTGTAAAAATCGCTAGACAATACTAAGTTTGTCGACTTGTGACAAAAGATTGGTGAATCTAAATTGCTAATCAATTAAATTATAAAAAATAACTAATATCGTATGAAAATAGATAAACACAACTAATATCATATCAAAATAAGTTAATGACTAATACAAAATGAATACTTCATCAAATAGTTTTTATTAAATATAAAATTTCTTTAAGATGCTTCACATATTGTATAGTGTTCAGGAAAGACGCAAAAGATCATATGATGTCAAGTTAGTAAAAATCGTTATGCAATACTAAGTCGGTCGACTTGTGATAAGAGATTAGACTGTGTGGTCGGTGAACCAAAATTTCTAATCAGTTAAATTATAAAAAATAACTAATATTTTAAGAAAATAGATAATAACAATTTTTATCGTATCTAAATAAGTTAATGACTAATGCAAAACTAATACTTCATCAAATAGTTTTTATTAAAGATAAAATTTCTTTAAGATATTGTTTAGGTATGGACACTGCTATATTGTTTCCATACCACCTAGAAAGTAATCGAAAATTTAATCGGACACTAGTCAAAAAAAAATTACTAACACTATATAATGGAAATATTATATACAAGGCATATATGCTAAAAAATCACTATGTACTCACAATTCTAGTCTAATTTCACCTATATATAAGAGGGACGCTATAAAAGAATGTGCAACTATATCATTAGAGTCTACAAATAAATAGACCATTAATAAATAAAACAATAACAACGTACTTTCAATTTCTCATTATTTTACACTTCCAGTTCCCACCCTTTAACATTATGTTATCAATATTTATGCCATAATATTAATAAAGTTGGCATTAAATCACAAAAATATTCCTTACGTCTAACCTCATTTTGCATTTGTTATAATTTCCTTTTCGTATCTTCCATCTTCGATTCCTTCAATTTATTTAACATATATAAAGGGAGTAGATTTGTCATTCTCGTTGTTTATGGACGTACATTGATTAGAAATTAACTTTGTGGTTCTAATTTAGCAACTTCTGAATTTTCATTGGTAGAAAGATAAATCTCAAACCCTAATCGATTTGCTAACTAGACAGTAGACACCACGAACGGTTAATAAAGCTTTTACGTTTAACTACCATTCGTAGTGTCTATAGTAATGATTTTTTTTTTTACTTATATGCTTAAGTTACTTGTACCAATGCATTGACCGGTTGTACCAAAGACCATGAGACAAATGGAAGAAATTAAAGAAGTTAAATTTTAAAAATGGTGATAGAGGAAAACAGGGGTGACTTGAGATTGATGCTTAACTGCTACCACACTCACTTTGTCTTGTGTTTTACTGAAAGAGTCAAGAACAAGATTAATCAAAGCATGATTAAACTATAAAGAAATTATACAAAAATGGTGGGTAGGGTGGGGTGACTGGGTGAGGGGTGGTGCTCTGCTAATTTTGCAAATCTCAAGGTATTCTTTTAATGTTTCTTTAATCTTTTTGTTTTTTATATTGAAATTCGCCATGAAACCTGTGCTTATTTCTTGATCACCACCCCAGTGTTCGAACCAAGCAAGAAAAACCCAGAAAAAAGGAGAGGTTTTTAGAGAGAGAAAGACACAGAGGAAGTGAGAGACGCAAAGATTAAGAAAAACAAACCTCAAATGATACAAACCCAAGAAAAGTTTGCAATTTGAGGCAAATGTCGATGTTGTCGTGCCCTAAATCCGATAACCATTATCCTATTAATCTCCATTGTTTCTTGAAATCTCCTCTGCTTTTCTTCTTCATTTCTATAACTCTTTTCTTGATTCACTGTTCCGCCGCCGCTGACGGCGGCGATGGAGGTCCTAACCAAGAAGCTGTTGTGCTTTTCACTTGGGTTCATGGTGATAACGGTGGTGGTAACGACGGTTCTTTCTTTTCGAGTTGGACACTTTCCGGCGACACCAAAAGCCCATGCAAATGGGATTACGTTAAATGTGATTCACAAGGTTTTGTTTCGGAAATCAATATTCAGTCGATACCATTGCAGCTACCATTACCGGCGAATCTTTCTTCGTTTTCCCATCTGAAAAGCCTTACGATATCCGACGCTAACATCACCGGAACTCTCTCCGACGACATTGGTTCCTGTCGGGAGCTTGTCGCCATTGATTTAAGCTCAAACAGTCTCGTGGGTCCCATCCCGTCTTCCATTGGCAACCTTGAAAACCTCCAGGACTTGATTTTAAACTCCAACAAACTCACCGGAAAAATCCCACGTGAGCTTGGGAACTGCCGGAGCCTCAAGAATCTTCACCTGTTTGACAACCGACTCACCGGAAACATCCCACCTGAATTAGGTCAGTTACATAACCTTGAAGTCATCCGCGCCGGAGGAAACAACGACCTCGCCGGAGAAATCCCTGAAGAAATCGGAAATTGCAGAAACCTCACGTTTCTCGGCCTCGCAGACACAAGAATATCAGGTTCTCTCCCTCACTCATTAGGTAACCTCACCAAACTAGAAACACTTTCCATCTACACCGCCATGCTTTCCGGTGAGCTCCCGCCGGAGCTCGGCGACTGTTCAGAGCTTGTAAACTTGTTCTTATACGAAAACACACTTTCCGGCTCCATCGTTCCCGACCTCGGAAAGCTCAAAAAGCTTGAAAAACTGTTACTATGGCAGAACAACTTAGTCGGATCAATCCCTGAAGAAATCGGAAACTGTACTAATTTAAAAATCTTCGACGTTTCTTTAAATTCATTATCCGGCGTTCTTCCATCTTCCGTTGGTAATCTCATTGAGTTAGAAGAATTCATGATTAGCAACAACAACATCTCCGGTTCAATCCCGATTGTTATTTCAAACGCCGTCAATCTCCAACAATTACAGCTGGACACCAATCAAATCTCCGGTCTGATTCCTTCCGAGATAGGAAAATTAACAAATCTCGAAGTGTTCTTCGCATGGGATAACAATCTTGAAGGAAGCATACCTTCAAGTTTAGGAAGTTGTACAAATCTTCAAGCATTAGATTTATCTCACAATTCACTCACCGGAAGTATCCCTCCAGGGTTGTTTCAACTCCAAAACCTCACCAAATTGCTTCTAATTTCAAACGACATTTCCGGTTCAATCCCGCCGGAAATCGGGAACTCCACCGCGTTAGTCCGGTTACGATTGGGTGATAATCGAATCACCGGCGAAATCCCGAAAGAAATCGCCGGATTAAAAAGCATAAACTTTCTTGATTTGTCCGGAAACCACCTCTCCGGGGTGGTTCCCGGTGAGCTTTCCGGTTGCACCGAGTTAGAAATGGTGGATCTTAGCAACAACACATTACAAGGCTCGTTACCGGATTCTTTATCATCATTATCAGGACTCCAAGTCCTGGATGTTTCCAATAACCGGTTTTCCGGTCCCATTCCCGCTAGTTTCGGGCGGTTGGTTTCATTAAACAAACTCATTCTTAGTAAGAATGAGTTTGCAGGAGCGATCCCTCGATCGCTCGGGCTCTGCTCAGGTCTACAATTTCTAGACCTGAGCAGTAATAAATTATCAGGCGGGATACCGCCTGAGTTAGGAAACATTCAAGCGCTCGAGATCGCCTTGAATTTAAGTTGCAATGGGTTAACCGGGTCGATCCCGGATCAAATAGCTGCGTTAAGCAAGCTTTCGATTCTTGACATGTCGTACAATAATTTGGAAGGAAATTTGAATCCACTTTCGCGTCTAGATAATCTTGTTTCGTTAAATATTTCGTATAATAATTTTACGGGATATTTACCGGATAATAAGCTTTTTAGGCAGTTATCGGAAGCTGATTTAGCCGGGAATCGAGGGTTGTGTTCTTTTGGAAAAGAATCGTGTTTTTTAAACAATGTTGCAGAATCAGGAAATGGGAAAGATGAGTATAAATCAAAAAACGCAAAGAGGTTAAGACTAGCGCTAGCGTTGCTTATTACTTTGACGATTGCTATGATGATTATGGGAGTGGCTGCGGTTTTACGTGCAAGAAGGGGTTTCAAGGGTGATGATGAATCTGAGCTTGGCGAATCATGGCCATGGCAATTCACGCCTTTTCAGAAGCTAAATATTTCAGTTGACCGAATATTGAAATGCTTAGTGGACACTAATGTCATCGGGAAAGGGTGCTCTGGGGTTGTGTATCGTGCTGATATGGATAATGGTGATGTGATTGCTGTGAAGAAGCTTTGGCCATCAATGGCGGTTGATGGTGGTTATGAAGATGAGAAAGCTACAGTTCGAGATTCGTTTTCAGCTGAAGTGAAAACATTGGGATCTGTGAGACACAAGAACATTGTTAGGTTTCTGGGTTGTTGTTGGAATAAGAAGACGAGGCTCCTTATGTATGATTATATGCCAAACGGAAGTCTTGGGAGTCTTCTTCATGAACGAATGGGGAGTTCGTTGGAGTGGGAATTGAGGTATCATATCTTGTTGGGGGCTGCTGAAGGAATTGCTTATTTGCACCATGATTGTGTTCCTCCGATTGTTCATCGAGATATTAAAGCTAATAATATTCTCATCGGTCTGGAATTTGAGCCATATATTGCAGATTTTGGTCTCGCGAAGCTCGTTGATGATGGTGATTTTGCTCGTTCTTCTAATACAATCGCTGGTTCATACGGATACATCGCTCCTGGTATACACATTTCTTTCCTTCATTTCATGATTGTTTTTCTATGAGACATTTTCACGAACAGGTTGTGTGCAATTTCAGAATACGGATACATGATGAAGATCACGGAAAAGAGCGATGTTTATAGCTATGGTGTAGTGATGCTGGAAGTTTTAACAGGGAAACAGCCGATCGATCCAACGATACCAGACGGATTACACGTCGTGGATTGGGTGAAACAGAGAAAAGGATGGATCGAAGTACTTGATCGGAGCTTATTATCTCGTTCGGAATCCGAGATTGAAGAAATGATGCAAGCATTAGGCGTTGCATTACTATGCGTCAACTCATTGCCGGAAGAACGACCAACGATGAAAGATGTTGCGGCAATGTTGAGGGAAATTAAGCACGAAAGAGAAGAGTATGCAAAAGTTGACGCTCTTTTGAAGGGTTCACCGGAGAAACCTGCCACCGGAAGTAAGGCGGAAGGAGGAGTTCCGGCAACATCATCTTCATCGGCTGCTGCTGTGGCTGGTGGTGGGATGAGAAGTAACGCGAGTAGCTTCTCTGGTTCTTCGTTGCTTTACTCGTCGTCTTCTAGAGTCGCCTACAAGTGAATAAAAGTGATTCTTGATTTGGGTGTGTGATGTTTCGGAATTTTTTAGATATGGTAATTTAATTATATTTGGTGTTGAGTTTAATGGATATTTGAATGGGTTTAGTTGTAAATTAAGAGATATGGGACGTGTGTTGTAAGTAGAAGAAATTTTGAGCCCATTTTGGCTTATGAACCTTCTTCATAACTAGTAGAATAATGACCACTTTTTGGCATTTGGATTTTAAGTAATACGTATTTGTTGAATTTTGTTTGTTTTAGTGTTGAAAAAAATAGTTAATGAAAAAATACCAAGAAGTGTAAAGAAAATGAGTTAACTAACTACTTTTAGTATATATTTTTAAAAGTAATCCATTTTGACCAATTTATACGCTTGATTAATACATAATACGTTCATATGGGAATATTATGTTTAGCATTGTATCAGAGACTTCCTCTCTAAAACCCTAGACGATCCCTTCTATCTTCCTTCCTCTTGTTTGCTTTCTTTTCTCTCTTTGTGCAATGTTAAGAGACAATAGCACCTCCTCTAAACATCCTTACAAGGCTTATGGAATAACCAACATCAAGACTTATGTACCCTTGATTCTAGATATCAGCAGTCATAACTATGATCCATGGAGTGACTTCTTTACTGCTCATTGCATTGCTTACGACCTCCAGAACCACATCAATGCTACTTATGATGCACCAAACAAGCCACCCACTGACATGAGATGGTGACAACTTAACAACCTCGTCAAACTGTGGTTGTTTAACTCAATTTCCCAGAGTCTCTTCTACAACGCTTACTCTCCTCATGCATCTGATCGTAAAATATGGTTGAACATATCTTCCATCTTCAATGACAACAAAGAAACCACAGTTATGCAGTTAGAAAGTGAGCTTCGGTGCATCACCATGGGGAACCTAAGTGTTCATGATTACTGTAACAAAATCAAGAAACTCACTGATCTTCTTGAAGGTTTAGGCAAAAAATTTAAAGATAGGCATGTGGTCATTCACGCTCTCAACGGATTGTCCAGTAAATCCAGGGGCCTTGCCAACATTATCCGCCTGTCAAAACCTTTTCCTACTTTTCTGAGATGCGCTCCATTCTTGTTACAGAAGAAACCAGGCTCGCCAAACCTCGTGTCACTGCCCCATCTACTGATGACACTCCCTCATCCAATTCCCTCCTTCATGTTGCAACCACTCCCTTAAATCGAGGTGGTGGTGGTGGTGGCTCCTCCAGCACAATGAACGGAATTATGGCAATAATAACTGCTGATCTCGACAGCCTCCTAATTCTGCCGAAGGTCCACCTGCTCACGGTCAACATGGTTGGGTTTATATATCCCTGCGTATGAGGAGTACGCCCCACGTACTACAAGTTTTTCGAAAATGGAAAAACTGCCCCCTATGGATCAAATCTGCAAAGTATTTACATACCAAGGGACGACGATCATGGAGCCTGTGACATGTGATAGAGGAGTCAAAAGAGAGAGAGAGAGAGAGAGAGAGAGAGAGAGAGAGAGAGAGAGAGAGAGAAAGAGAGAGAGAGAGAGAGAGAGACAGAGAGAGAGAGAGAAAGAGAGAAATAAAGAAAAAGAACTGTGGATCAGAGGTTGCCTGATGGAGAAGGTGCCATTGGAAGGAAGCAACAACAATATCGCAATGGACTGACTTGGAAAATAGATTAAGAGAATAAGAGGCCAACCAAGGATAAGACAGAAGGCTCGGAGGCAGAGGTCATCTGAGGAGGAGGCATAAATAGAGGAGGCAATAAAAGAAATCGAGGAAGAAGCTCTGATTTTGTAACCACTACATTATTATAATTTAGGAGGAGAAATAAGAAATAGGAAAACATTAATCTTAATAAAGGAACCTCTAAAGACTATTAGCGAAGGTCCTCAGAGGTGGAGGAAATCGATTGTGGGTTATGGTCAGCAGTAAGGTTTTAACCTAGAGCTATGATACCATGTAAATATATGTGGATCCCACGATTATATCTAAAAGAGCCCATGTGGAGAGAAATGATACTCCAACATATATAGACACTTATTGAACTGTGTCACACCAATGTAAGATACACTAACATTTTCCCTCATAGTTGGAGACTCGATGAGGATAAACAAGGATGTGATAAACCACGGGGTATGAGACGTCGACTCTGATACCATGCAAATATATGTTAAGTCCAAGATTGTCTCTCCAAAAGAACCATTGTGGATAAAAATAGGACTCCAACATATATGGTCACTTATAAGACCGTATCACACTGATTTGGGATACGGTAACACTCCCTCTAAGAATCGAAGGCTTGATAAGGATAAATAAGGATTTGGGACACGGGGATGCGAGATACCGACTCTGATACCATAATATTAATTAATAGTAAGGGTAAAACCTAATATAAATAAGGATACATAAAGGGCCTTCTATCTAACCTAAACCCTAAGAGCTATGGGCCTAAACCCTAATCTCTAACATACTATCATGTACTAACAATGATCATTGTAAAATCTAAGGTTTATATCTATGAATTCGCAACTTTTGCAACAATATTTAGGACCGCATGAGGAGTTTGTTACTCATTTACCTTTTTCTACATTGCATAATACTTCGAAATTCATTTACCTTTATGGGTATACTTTGGTGAGTTAACACACAATTTTAGACACAAGTATTTGATATAAAAAATGTAAAAGAATGTTAGATTTTTTTTTTAAATGAACTATGAGCCACTATGAGACTAGCCCACTTGGTAGACTTTTTTTTTTTCTTTAAGATTGTAGGTATCGACCGTCGAGTTTTAATTCAGACATTGGTGATTTATACTAATACGGTGATACTAACTTTTAACCCTTAAAAAAACTATGAAAATTCCACCTTATTTTATTGATTTAAATATGGATATTTTTCAAATCTTTAGAAAAATTTTAACCCAAAAAATGCAAAACCTAATCGAATTTTTGCAATATTTTCTTTGTAAAAAACAATTCTCGCAACTACACTTGAATCATACGATTTAACTAATTGCAAAATTAATGATCATTTATGCTAATGCTAAAGGTCATTTGTTGTAATTTTGTGATATAATGACATTTTAATATCTTAATATGTTAAAAGATCTTCTTGGTATAAGTTTGCATTCTCAAACTTTTTTGACAAGTTAAAAAGTAGTTTATAAATTAGTATTTTAAAAACCCATTTATACTAGTTTTTTTATGAGTTTTTTAAAAAAATTTCAAAATATATCTTTATTTATTATAGAAACATATTTTTCTAAATATCTTTTTATGTTATTTTATATTTTCAACTAGTTTAACAGAGATAACTTTTATGAGATAACTTTTCAGCTAGTTTTTCGTTTGAATAACAAACAAAACCTAAATGATAAAAGACTTGTCACATGGAAGGATTATTTTAAGGACATAACAGTACAAATTAATTACTAGTTTAACCTTTTTAGAAAATAATGATTGAAGTTTGTTGGTATCATCCCATCAAATAATTGATGCCTAGGCTAGATTGCCCATCCTTTTTCCCTTTGACTACATCTACCTCATTTTAGGTCATTTTCTCACATTTTAAATTACAATTTATCGGCAAAGTGTACGATTCTGGTATGTAAATTAAATTGTACCTATTACATATTTGGAAACTTTCATATGTAATATGCAGTATTGGTCATGGTGATTGTACCACGAGGTGTGAATGGCATAAAGTAAATGCAAGGAATCTCTTTATACATGGCCTCTGACCCGAATTCATTACATTGAGATTCACATACTTTTTTATTAGTTTAATCGGTTTATTCTTTTTTGTTGGAAAATGTAACTTAAAAAGTAAATCTTTTCTAAACAATTGACTTTTCAAATTATCGAATTTGTTAGGATCTTGTTTAGTTTCTAACGAGTTAAATAGATATAGTTTAAATTTGGTTAAATTGTAATTGATGTATATTATTCAAAATGGGGTCAAAATTACCTAATGTATGTTTTTAGAGAATATGACGAAAATAGTTGTTGTTTTTTCATTTTTTACAAAAACAAGCTAAAATCTAAGAAAAATCTTCAATAACCACAAATTGTTCAGGACAATGTGAAATAGGGAATAATACTATGAAATGCTTAAAACAAAGTTGTTTTGGTATTTTACAGTGGGCCTTACAAAATGAATACACATTATAAAATGAATTTCTTATCAAATATTGTGTGCAAATTCAACAAAAAGTCACATTTGGATGGAGTTTTACCCTTTTGCCCTTCCACGCTACAAATTTGAGGCATATTTGTGGGCATAATATTTCTCCCATTTTTTTTTTGGAATTAAAAAAAAAAAATATACTTACAAAGAATCAAAGCTGCAATGCCTTAACATTGGACCAACGCACGGTTTTTGCGATTGAACCCTTGCTATTAATATGCATTATATATTTTGTTCATTGAAATTTAAAAGAAAACGTGGAAATCAAACATTCAAACCAAAGACCCTTTGTTGGGTGAGGTATTTACCATTAGGTCAAGAGCTGTTTTTCCTAAATTATTCTCATCTTTTTTTAAATATATTTTAAATTACTTTAGTATGTATAATATGTATTTTTAAATATAAATATGTATTGGTACGGATTATTTATGTATTCTTATGCATAAATACATATAAAACATATTTTCACAAATAAATATATATGTATTTTAACTATTTTATATTTGAATACATATTTTTTTTATTTAAATATATATTTTTGTCTATTCTTATATGTAATATATGTATTTATGCATATTATATGTATTATACAAACACCTAAAATTATATTTTTATATTTAAAAATATGTACTATATGTGTCTTACAATATGTTTAAAAATAATGTAATAATTACAAAAACAATTTGTATGTAGTGGTAAACACCTCACTCAACTTGACAGCTCTCCTTTAATTTTTCTTGTAAAAGGAAAATATTATGTGGACGACTTCATAATCGTATTGAGTTTGCTCTCATTATTAAGAGATATTTTGCATATAATTTTTATTATCAAACTGATTTACTTGTTGTATATTCTCCCACTTTAGCATATATCATTTCCATAGATAGATGTATCTGTACATGTATCAAACATAATAGAAATCACTTCATTACTCCTTATCTATATATGGTAGCAGAGCTTTAATTGCTCATACTTGATCCTTAGAAAAAAAGCCATAATCTATGTCATGTCTAAACCCACCATTTAGATGGAGGAAGCA